CAAGATCACTAACCCAGTATAATGGGTCTCCAAGATCACTAACCCGGTATAGTGGGTCTTCAAGATCACTAACCCAGTATAGTGGTTCCAAGATCACTACCCGGTATAGTGGGTCTCCAAGATCACTAACCCGGTATAGTGGGTCTCCAAGATCACTAACCCAGTATAGTGGGTCTCCAAGATCACTAACCCGGTATAGTGGGTCTTCAAGATCACAAACCCAGTATAGTGGGTCTTCAAGATCACTAACCCAGTATAGTGGGTCTTCAAGATCACTAACCCGGTATAGTGGGTCTCCAAGATCACTAACCTGGTATAGTGGGTCTCGAATCACTAACCCGGTACAGTGGGTCTTCGAATCCACTAACCCAGTATAGTGGGTCTTCAAGATCACTAACCCAGTATAGTGGGTCTCCAAGATCACTAACCCGGTATAGTGGGTCTCCAAGATCACTAACCCGGTATAGTGGGTCTCCAAGATCACTAACCCGGTATAGTGGGTCTTCAAGATCACTAACCTGGTATAGTGGGTCTCCAAGATCACTAACCCGGTATAGTGGGTCTCCAAGATCACTAACCCGGTATAGTGGGTCTCCAAGATCACTAACCCAGTATAGTGGGTCTTCAAGATCACTAACCCGGTATAGTGGGTCTTCAAGATCACTAACCCGGTATAGTGGGTCTTCAAGATCACTAACCCAGTATAGTGGGTCTCCAAGATCACTAACCCGGTATAGTGGGTCTTCAAGATCACTAACCCAGTATAGTGGGTCTTCAAGATCACTAACCCAGTAGAGTGGGTCTTCAAGATCACTAACCCAGTATAGTGGGTCTTCAAGATCACTAACCCAGTATAGTGGGTCTTCAAGATCACTAACCCAGTATAGTGGATCTTCAAGATCACTAACCCAGTATAGTGGGTCTTCAAGATCACTAACCCGGTATAGTGGGTCTTCAAGATCACTAACCCGTATAGTGGGTCTCCAAGATCACTAACCCAGTATAGTGGGTCTCCAAGATCACTAACCCGGTATAGTGGGTCTCCAAGATCACTAACCCGGTATAGTGGGTCTCCAAGATCACTAACCCGGTATAGTGGGTCTTCAAGATCACTAACCTGGTATAGTGGGTCTCCAAGATCACTAACCCGGTATAGTGGGTCTCCAAGATCACTAACCCGGTATAGTGGGTCTCCAAGATCACTAACCCGGTATAGTGGGTCTCCAAGATCACTAACCCGGTATAGTGGGTCTCCAAGATCACTAACCCGGTATAGTGGGTCTCCAAGATCACTAACCCGGTATAGTGGGTCTCCAAGATCACTAACCCAGTATAGTGGGTCTTCTACGTAGAACTGTTAAAAAAGAACAGGATAACCTACCCGGAGGATTGTGAGTTTAATAGAGAAGGATACGACTCATTTACGAACCTTTCTCAGGCAACTTGGAAGGGGTGTGGTTATTCATGCTAGAATAGGACCTTGGGGCCAGCTTGGTGAGGGTGCAGGGGAGGATGTTCGAAGAAACGAATTGGTGTAAAATTAAACTAAAGGGGAGAGACTTACTCGCTGTTGGACGCATTTATACATCCCCAAATTGCATTATATTAAACCAAGATAACATAAGACTTCCATAGACAACGTAAGGGCGCTCAACTCTAAACACCACCTTGTCATTGGGCCCTCAACTATGGCGACATCGACTGGAGGAATGAATTTACACCAAATAACCTTAATAACCGCACAACTTATTTTGTAGAAACTCTTAAGAGACAATTTTCTATTCCAACATGTGAAAGAAAGGTCTGACTCATTATAGAGGGGAGTAAACACCCAAACCGCTGGACTTCATCTTAACTAACGAGTTGGAACATTCGGCCCCCGTTGGCACCAGTCATCACGTGATATTGTTCTTCAGATTTAACTGTTACTTGGTTCAGGTCAAGGTTCAAATATTACAATGGTGATTAAAACGGGATGAGGGAGAAGATAAGGGGTATTCACTGGCCTGACTCGCTGAGAATAAAAAACACAGACTTAATGTAAGGAATCTTCTTACATATGTTAGATGACAAGCTCGCAGCGACGGGGAGTGGTGGAGAGAATGTGACAGTCACCCCTCAGACATAGTCACCCCTACAGCAGTGAGGGATGTTGAGGAAGTAAGAGAAACAATTGAGACCCTACAATAATTGTGTGTAAATGAGGCAGAAAGTCAATCGGATCAGCAACCTGGGATTTGGCGCAATTGCCGTCCCTGGAGGTGTCATATTCAGACTGAGGCCAGACACACAATACTTTCTCAACCAAAACGACCAAAATTAATTTCGGGCGAGGAACATGAGATAAAGTTGTATTATTTATTTTTATTATTATTTTTTTTTATCTGGGAACAGCCGGCGGAATTTTTTTAGGAACTTCCACTGTAAAAGTTCCTATTCTCCAGATGCCCGAGTCGAAGGCATCACTGATCATCAAAAGGGCGGGAAGTGCAATATGGTGCAAATAGTACAGCTCTTGTGGTAGAACATATAGGAGCACACTTCCTGATCAATGTGGGATTGGAGGAGCAATGAGAAAAATAACATTATTTGATATAAAGCGTAAGGCAAGAAACATTATTATTTCTAACGTGTTCCTTTGGGTGAAAATTGACGATACTTGCTATGTTGACACCTTCCATTAACTATTCCCTCTGTCCTATAGCTATTTCTTCATTCTTAGTGTGACTCTCTTTTCCAACTTACTGGAGCCTGGGAACCATCCAGCTTCGTTGACTTTAGTTATACTGAACAGTTGGGGGCAATACCAGCAACAGCCTCAAGACTTTGATGCATTCTGCAGTGTCCTAAATCCACTCTTGCCCCCTTGCACATAACCCTCACGAGACGTCTCCTCACAGTAAGTGCATGTCAACAAACTTTCTGGTTGCTCTGATGTTGTACTCCCTGATTCACTATTCCTATGCATGTCTCGTCTCATTTTTTCCAACGAGCGTACTTATACCTGTGGGACACGTAGCATATGACAGCTGTGACCAAAAACGAGTTTGAGGGGGGAAGGGAGTTAGCGGGAGGGGGTGTGTTAGGCGAGTGTTTGTCAGATGTTATGACACAAGACTCTGTAATGTATAGGAATTTTCTGAGTCTTGAGCAAAATTTACGATATGATACAATAATTTTACTCCAGTTTTGTTATTACTAATTTTTTGGTCTTGATGATAGGACTTAGTGTCAAGGACCTTAAAGTTCGCGACTCAGTTACATTCTCCCATAGGTCTCAGAGCCTGTGTGGAGGTGGGGGGCGTGCTAACTTCCGTCACCTCTCACTTTATTCTGAAGAAGAAATTACCACGTTACTAGGATGACTTCCTTTATAATAGCATCACCTACTAGATGTAATTTCAGTGTACTAAGACATGTGTGCGTTTGTACCCTAGTGGCAGGATAGTCACTTATCTGTCTTGCTGGTGTTGACCTCGCTGGCACCCTCGTTCGCCTACTGTTACTGTCTGGGAAAGCTCAGTTTTGTCCACTATTTTTTTCCAGTTTTCCTCGACGGGTTGTTGGTACCTCTATGTGCTGCCTTTAAAGTAAATCTCGCCACTCTAGATCTTCCCACGAGTGGTGGATCATATGGGCAATCACAGACCTTGAGAAGAAGATAAATATTCCTATCCTTGTGGCACTAATAATGCTTTTTCGTTACTTTCATGCTCACTGTGTCCTCCAAATTATTCCACTTAAATTATTTTCGAGTTTCCTCAGCAGTTACCGTTATCACTATGAGCTGTACTAGCTGTAGGCACAGTAATACACTCTGGTCGCCCTACGAACGGTCAATCACAGCCGTGGATACAACCCCATTAAAATTTTATGTAATTATCTTGACACATGACAGTGATTTTATGGTTTTACCCACACAGCCTCGCTCTACACAGCCTCGCTCTACACTCGCTCTACACAGCCTCGCCCTACACTCGCTCTACACAGCCTCGCTCTACACAGCCTCGCTCTACACAGCCTCGCTCTACACAGCCTCGCTCTACACAGCCTCGCTCTACATAGCCTCGCTCTACAGTACACAGCCTCGCTCTTCACAGCCTCGCTCTACACAGCCTCGCTCTACACAGCCTCGCTCTACACTCGCTCTACACAGCCTCGCTCTACACAGCCTCGCTCTACACAGCCTCGCTCTACACAGCCTCGCTCTACACAGCCTAACTCTAGTCAGGTAGAAAGAATATATCGATCACCAAACATGAACAACAACAAAACTGCCCACGGATTGACACATTCACATCACCAAACGATCTTGCTGACCTTATGAATTCACTGCCCAATTTGTAAGTTATTTGGAATTATATGAGAAGGCGATTATAGCACTAGTATTACCTAACACTGAATATCATCTACGCATTAATTCCTCAAAAGTAACCTCGAACCCAGGATAACTAGACTCCCAACCCAGTGAGCTAACCACTCCACCGATTCATTGTTCCCCTATATGTATACAATATCACTTAAGTCTATGGTTGTCTGAGTGGCAATGGATGTGCCTCCAGAAGAAGTTAAGTATGTTAGATAGAACAGTTTGCACTCGAGTGTGACTGGGTGAGCACAAGAGGTGAAGAAGAACTTTTTGATGTTTGTACACAGTGTGAGTGAAGAGGGAACAAAGAGATTAGAAAAAATGAAGAAAATAGATGACTGCTGGAAGGCTCAGATGATCGATAAGTGGATGACAGATAGAATCAAGGTGAGTAAAGAGAAGGAATACTCCAACGTGAGGTGGAAGGATAGTGCTAAGCTACACGAGAGTAAGATATGTGTTTGTGAGGTCAACCAATAATGATATGTGTTCCTTCGTGATATTAAGAGTTACAGTTACTAATACTTGAAGCAATTAAACAAAAAACCGTAGTTCTATAAATATTCCACACAGTCTTTCTCCAGAGTGATTGATGATACTAAGGTTTCAGTGTTCGTATTATTAGACTCACTCTTTTTGGTTTAGTTGGTCCTCTCTCCCTCTCCCTTTCCTTCTCCTTCTCCCTTTCCATTTCTAGTTCTCGGTCGAGCACCTTGATGTAGTCCTCTTTGTAGGCATGGTAGATGTCCCACAGACCCACGTTGATGCTGAAAGTGGTGCTTGGGGGAGACTGTGTCTGGATAGCCAAGTTCTGGTGAGGTAAACAGAAACATGAATAAGAGCAGCCTTGATGCATCACTTAACTCCAGTGTCTTCATTCAGTCGATATTATATGTAAGGCTTCGATACTGTCACACCAGATGAGAGTTGGTGCAATTGGTGCATACCAGCTCACAGCTTCCCGGCTTCTTCAGGCATCTATTTATCCTCACAAATGGGCTCAAACCTGTGAGGCTGGCAAGATCTCAAAGAGTTGATAAAGAATAAATTTCTCACTTGTTAAATAGAAGAAACTAATACAGTTTTGTCTATACACAAATTAGTTGTTGTATATGGAAGAAAAAAGATGTACTGCACAGTATATACTTCATTAAAAACTCTTACAATACTAAACAATGAACATCTGTTAACTATTGTATTCAGTAGGTCTAGTGTTGGCGGGAAAATACCCGTGTTGTATGTGTGTTTACAGTAAAGCGAGTCCAGACTAAGTGAAGACACAACCTAATCATTTCTTGTGGAGATTCAACACCAAACGACTCCCTTAAAGGAAGTCAGTAAATGCGTGTTCCTGTGCATCCATGTCTGTAAGAGTCTTAAGACCATAACTTCATTGAAGAAACAGATATTAATTTATGGTTTTGACAATTTAGTATTAGAAAGGATGAATTTGCTCTTCGTGTTATCATCAAACATTATGACATCTGACGTATTTATTTACTTAAGTTACGTTCCTACATGAAAATATTACCCTTCTGATTTATTTAACATTGTCTCCTGTAAATACCTGTCTTGTTGTAGCCTTAATGGTACAGTAATTAATGTATCAAATGTATCTCACTTTAGTCGTGCTCAACTTGATGTTATAATATATTTACCTTCTGTGTGAGTCTGGTTGTTTGTGAGACTCGCTCGCTGAAATTGAAAGGGTTGGGCTGTGAGTCTATCCTGGCCAGCTCCTCCCTAGACACAACACCATCATACAGCTCCTCCATCTCTCGCCGCGACACCTGGGCACATTCCTCTGCCTCTGAATCTGTGTGTTGCAGCATGGAGCTTAATACACACTGTTCAAGGATTACAAAGTGCATGTAAATACCTACAATACAATACTTGCAGTGTAATTAACCCTTAAACAACAATTAACAACAGCATCCATGGAACATATTTATGTAACTGTTTCCGGTTACCTGGGAATCACTAATGAGAGGTAACTTTACAGTAACATTCACAAAAGTTTATGGGTTAAGTTTACAAACCCAAATGGTCTTTTCTCCATTTATTTAGAAAAATATATGTATGCACAATTAACTAGGAGATCACCGTAATTAACACTATGAGCAGTAAGCGTTAATGATGGACAGAGCTTATCAATAATAGCTTTGTGTCAGTCCGTCCAACAGGTGTCAGAGGTGAGCAGAGACTCGGGAGAGCCGGCTTACATAATTGTTGACTCTTTCGCGTCTAGAGGCGGTGCGATTGCAGTGGATCACATGATCAAGGCAGGACAGCTCACTGCTCATGGAAATTTCCGTGGGTGATGTAGTTATATAAACCTAATGTATATAACCCACATTTATATAAGTACTACTGACTGTTAGACAAGGGTTAATGCATTAAATTTATATTGTAATACACAGTAAATCATTGGCTTCTATGACTTCTTTATAACTAATAATGACAGTACACTCAGCTGAAAACTTTGAAGTCTCAATTATTTTATATTTTTGCTCCTCATCACTACGTCCTGACCACCCCCCCCCCCTCGTCTGCCTCCTCTCGTATACTTCATCCTCTCTATTCCACTCCCACTTCTTCTCTTCCACCATACATTTATTCTCTGCATCCTCTTCATTTCACTCACTCTATGTACTTACACAGTCTCATAACTATCGGCGTTCACTCTACAACTTGGTTTCAATTTTATTTTCTCTTTTTACATTCTCCCTGTCAATCGAATCTAATACTACCCATGTAACCTTCTTCAATGTATGGGAGCAGGATGAACTGTACCACCGAACACATTTCTACACCTCTTCTACTTTTTGAAGGATGAACTGTGTTATGTCATTACCAATAGAATAATAGGGTTGGTATTAACAACGTGTAAGGGTGGACTTAACTATTTAATAATTAAAACGCACAACACTGGTATGGCTCACGGAAGCACTCCCACGACGCACGGCTCAAGGCAGGACTCCCACAGCACACAGCTCATGGCAGGATACCCACAGCAAACGGTTCACGGCAGTACTCCCACAGCACACAGCTCACGGCAGGACTCCCACAGCACAGAGCTCACGGCAGGACTCCCACAGCACAGTACTCACGGCAGTACTCCCACAGCACACGGTTCACGGCAGGATTCCCACAGCAAACGGTTCACGGCAGGATTCCGACAGCAAACAGTTCACGGCAGTACTCCCACAGCACATGGCTTATAGCAGGATTCCCACAGCAAACGGTTCACGGCAGTACTCTCACAGCACACGGTTCACGGCAGTACTCCCACAGCACACGGTTCACGATAGTACTCCCACAGCACACAGCTCACTTATTGTGACCCCACAGCACACGGCTCACGGCAGTACTCTCACAGCACACGGCTCACGGCAGTACTTCCACAGCACTCGGATCATGGCAGTACTCCCACAGCACACACACACAGCTCACGGCAGGACTCCCACAACACACACAGCTCACGGCAGTACTCCCACCGCACACGGCTCACGGTTGTACCCAGCACACAGCCTCACGGCAGCACTCCCACGACGCACGGCTCCACGGTGACCCCACAGCACACGTATCAATGGCAGGATTCCGACAGCAAACGGTTCATGGCAGTACTCCCACAGCACACTGTTCATGGCAGGACTCCCACAGCACACGGCTCACGGCAGTACTCCCACAGCACACGGTTCAGTGCAGGACTCCCACAGCTCACGGCAGGATTCCGACAGCACACGACTCACGGCAGGACTCCCACAGCACACGGCTCACGGCAGTACTCTCACAGCACACGTATTCACGCATGTACCCCACAGCACACAGCCCACGGCAGGTCTCCTTGGGGCTAGAACAGAGCCTCCACGGCAGTACTCCCACAGCACAATTTGTTCATGGCAGGATTCCCACAGCAAACGGTTCACGGCAGGATTCCGACAGCAACGGTTCACGGCAGTACCCCACAGCACATGGCCTCACGGCAGTACTCCCACAGCACACGGTTCACGGCAGGGACTTCACAGCACACGGTTCACGGCAGTACTCCCACAGTACAAAGCTTACGGCAGTACTCCCACAGCACACAGCTCACGGCAGGACTCCCAAAGCACACTGCTCACGGCAGCTCCCACAGCACACGGTTCACGGCAGGACTTCCACAGCACAAAGCTCATGGCAGTACTCCCACAGCAAACAGCACACAGTTCACGGCAGGAGTCCCACAGCACACGGCTCACGGCAGGACTCCCACACCACACAGCTCACGGCAGGTCTCCCACAGCACACAGCAGGACTTCCACAGCGCGTGGCTAGTAAGCAGAGGTCCTCCTGCTTTATACACCTCCCTTGGGATTCCATCAGGCCTGAGGCTTTGCTGTCTTTCAACTGTTTGATGGCAGTAGCTACTGCACCTCATCCAGGGATGGGGGATAGCTGAAGTGGGTCAGCTCTGGTCACCTCTTCCCCGAATATCGCTGTTGGGGTCTTGTTGGAGTTCTGTAAACATGTCTGCCTGATGTGGGGCTCCACCGCAGATTTTTCGTTCCGGGTTTACTCCTGTAGCCTTATACCTACCAAGGTTAATCCTCAAGGCAGCAGGGCAATGGTTGGTAGGCGCCAGGACGTGTCCAAATGCCGGTGGGTCAATGCGCCATCCCTCTGGGGCCCACTGCTGCTCCTAGTCGTGATGGTAAAGAGGCTGTGTACTGGCAGGGGAAGACTTATGTAAGTTGCTTCCCTGTTCACCACGAGGGCTAGCCAGCGGTGGTAGCTGAAAGCGTGAGGGAGCAAGCAGTGCCTGCACCTTAACACTAACATAATGCTGCCACACTAGACGCATTATACCACCCTGTGTGTGCGCGTGCACACGCGCGCGCATGTGACTACTAACCTTGATCACTCACGTGATGGTGACTACTAACCTTGATCACTCACGTGATAGTGACTACTAACCATGATCACTTACGTGATGGTGACTACTACCACGATCACTCACGTGATGGTGACTACTACCATGAGCACTCAGGTGATGGTGACTACTACCATGAGCACTCATGAACTTCCCTGAGCTGATATTGTCATGGAATTCAGTATGTGCACAGTTTCATGAGTTTCCCCATGGTGACAGTGTGTTACCATGAACTATCAGGTGTATGGAGACATATGATAAAAAAAAACATCATTATTTCAGGTATGGGGAGGGAGGGGGGGGCAATTATCACCACAAACTCACTCCTGTTTCCAAACCTCCCGTTAATACGGTATATCTACCTAATGGACCAAAGAACAACATATCCTTCACTATAATATATCTACCTGCTAATGGACCAAAGAACAACATATCCTTCACTATAATATATCTACCTGCTAATGGACCAAAGAACAACATATCCTTCACTATAATATATCTACCTGCTAATGGACCAAAGAACAACATATCCTTCACTATAATATATCTACCTGCTAATGGACCAAAGAACAACATATCCTTCACTATAATATATCTACCTGCTAATGGACCAAAGAACAACATATCCTTCACTATAATATATCTACCTGCTAATGGACCAAAGAACAACATATCCTTCACTATAATATATCTACCTGCTAATGGACCAAAGAACAACATATCCTTCACTATAATATATCTACCTGCTAATGGACCAAGGAACAACATATCCTTCACTATAATATATCTACCTGCTAATGGACCAAAGAACAACATATCCTTCACTATAATATATCTACCTGCTAATGGACCAAGGAACAACATATCCTTCACTATAATATATCTACCTGCTAATGGACCAAGGAACAACATATCCTTCACTATAATATATCTACCTGCTAATGGACCAAGGAACAACATATCCTTCACTATAATATATCTACCTGCTAATGGACCAAAGAACAACATATCCTTCACTATAATATATCTACCTGCTAATGGACCAAAGAACAACATATCCTTCACTATAATATATCTACCTGCTAATGGACCAAGGAACAACATATCCTTCACTATAATATATCTACCTGCTAATGGACCAAAGAACAACATATCCTTCACTATAATATATCTACCTGCTAATGGACCAAGGAACAACATATCCTTCACTATAATATATCTACCTGCTAATGGACCAAAGAACAACATATCCTTCACTATAATATATCTACCTGCTAATGGACCAAAGAACAACATATCCTTCACTATAATATATCTACCTGCTAATGGACCAAGGAACAACATATCCTTCACTATAATATATCTACCTGCTAATGGACCAAGGAACAACATATCCTTCACTATAATATATCTACCTGCTAATGGACCAAGGAACAACATATCCTTCACTATAATATATCTACCTGCTAATGGACCAAGGAACAACATATCCTTCACTATAATATATCTACCTGCTAATGGACCAGGGAACAACATATCCTTCACTATAATATATCTACCTGCTAATGGACCAAAGAACAACATATCCTTCACTATAATATATCTACCTGCTAACTATAATATATCTACTCAATGGACCAAAGAACAACATATCCTTCACTATAATATATCTACCTGCTAATGGACCAAAGAACAACATATCCTTCACTATAATATATCTACCTGCTAATGGACCAAAGAACAACATATCCTTCACTATAATATATCTACCTGCTAATGGACCAAAGAACAACATATCCTTCACTATAATATATCTACCTGCTAATGGACCAAAGAACAACATATCCTTCACTATAATATATCTACCTGCTAATGGACCAAGGAACAACATATCCTTCACTATAATATATCTACCTGCTAATGGACCAAGGAACAACATATCCTTCACTATAATATATCTACCTGCTAATGGACCAAGGAACAACATATCCTTCACTATAATATATCTACCTGCTAATGGACCAAGGAACAACATATCCTTCACTATAATATATCTACCTGCTAATGGACCAAGGAACAACATATCCTTCACTATAATATATCTACCTGCTAATGGACCAAAGAACAACATATCCTTCACTATAATATATCTACCTGCTAATGGACCAAGGAACAACATATCCTTCAATATAATATATCTACCCGCGAATGGACCAAGGAACAACATATCCTTCACTAGGATGGTCTTTAGCCCTGCTAATGGACCAAGGAACAACATATCCTTCTACTATAATATATCTACCTGCTAATGGACCAAAGAACACACATCCTTCAATTATAATATATCTACCCAAGTTAATGGACCAAGGAACAACATATCCTTCACTATAATATATCTACCTGCTAATGGACAAGAACAACATATCCTTCACTATAATATATCTACCTCATGGACCAAAGAACATTTTTTTGTATCCTTCACTATAATATATCTCTGTATGGACCAAGGAACAACATATCCTTCACTATAATATATCTACTCATATGGACCAAAAGAACATATCCTTCACTATAATATATCTACCTGCTAATGGACCAAGGAACAACATATCTACTATAATAATCGGACCAAACAACATATTCTTCACTATAATAGTACAATTCCTAGATTCTCGGTAATGTTGTGATACCAGAAATCTTTAATATACTCTACCTTATTGTTCTTAAGAACGTTTTCAGTAATGGTAGGGAACTCTTAAACGACTCAAGAGTTGATACAGGAGCTACTCATTCAGAGTACTTACCAAATTCTCAGGTACTAATATAGTCAGGTATGGTAGGTTCTGTACTATTTAGTCAGGTATGGTAGGTTCTGTACTATTTAGTCAGGTATGGTAGGTTCTGTACTATTTAGTCAGGTATGGTAGGTTCTGTACTATTGAATAGGTATGGTATGTTCTGGTACTATTTAGTCAGGTGTGGTATAATTCTACTATTTAGTCAGGTATGGTAGGTTCTGGTACTATTTAGTCAGTATGGTAGATTCAATACTATTTAGTCAGGTATGGTAGGTCTTGTACTATTTAGCTGTGTTGGCGGTAGATTCAATACTATTTAGTCAGGTATGGTATGTTCTGTACTATTTAGTCAGGTTATGGTAGGTTCTGTACTATTTAGTCAGGTATGGTAGGTTCTGTACTATTTAGTCAGGTATGGTAGGTTCTGTACTATTAAGTCAGGTATGATAGGTTCTGTACTATTTAGTCAGGTATGGTAGGTTCTGTACTATTTAGTCAGGTATGGTAGGTTCAATACTATTTAGTCAGGTATGGTAGGTTCTGTACTATTTAGTCAGGTATGGTAGGTTCTGTACTATTTAGTCAGGTATGGTAGGTTCTGTACTATTTAGTCAGGTATGGTAGGTTCTGTACTATTTAGTCAGGTATGGTAGATACAATACTATTTAGTCAGGTATGGTAGATACAATTATTTAAATAGGTATGGTATGTTCTGTACTATTAGTCAGGTGTGGTAGGTTCTTGTACTATTTAGTCAGGTATGGTAGATGGCTAACAATTATTTAGTCAGGTATGGTAGATTAATACTATTTAGTCAGGTATGGTATGTTCTGTACTATTTAGTCAGGTGTGGTAGGTTCTGTACTATTTGGGGTCAGATATGGTAGGTTCTGTACTATTTAGTCAGGTATGGTAGATTCAATACTATTTAGTCAGGTATGGTAGATACAATACTATTTAGTCAGGTATGGTAGATTTAATACTATTTAGTCAGGTATGGTAGGTTCTGTACTATTTAGTCAGGTATGGTAGATACAATACTATTTAGTCAGGTATGGTAGATTCAATACTATTTAGTCAGGTATGGTAGATTTAATACTATTTAGTCAGGTATGGTAGGTTTTGTACTATTTAGTCAGGAATGGTAGATACAATACTATTTAGTCAGGTATGGTAGATTCAATACTATTTAGTCAGGTATGGTAGGTTCTGTACTATTTAGTCAGGTATGGTAGGTTCTGTACTATTTAGTCAGGTATGGTAGATACAATACTATTTAGTCAGGTATGGTAGATTTAACACTATTTAGTCAGGTATGGTAGGTTCTGTACTATTTAGTCAGGTATGGTAGATACAATACTATTTAGTCAGGTATGGTAGATTTAATACTATTTAGTCAGGTATGGTAGATACAATACTATTTAGTCAGGTATGGTAGATTTAATACTATTTAGTCAGGTATGGTAGGTTCTGTACTATTTAGTCAGGTATGGTAGATACAATACTATTTAGTCAGGTATGGTAGATACAATACTATTTAGTCAGGTATGGTAGATTTAATACTATTTAGTCAGGTATGGTAGATACAATACTATTTAGTCAGGTATGGTAGATTTAATACTATTTAGTCAGGTATGGTAGATTCAATACTATTTAGTCAGGTATGGTAGATTGAATACTATTTAGTCAGGTATGGTAGATACAATACTATTTAGTCAGGTATGGTAGGTTCTGTACTATTTAGTCAGGTATGGTAGATACAATACTATTTAGTCAGGTATGGTAGGTTCTGTACTATTTAGTCAGGTATGGTAGATACAATACTATTTAGTCAGGTATGGTAGGTTCTGTACTATTTAGTCAGGTATGGTAGATACAATACTATTTAGTCAGGTATGGTAGGTTCTGTACTGTTTAGTCAGGTATGGTAGATTTAATACTATTTAGTCAGGTATGGTAGGTTCTGTACTATTTAGTCAGGTATGGTAGGTTCTGTACTATTTAGTCAGGTGTGGTAGACAATACTATTTAGTTAGGTATGGTAGATTCAATACTATTTAGTCAGGTATGGTAGGTTCTGTACTATTTAGTCAGGTGTGGTAGACAATACTATTTAGTTAGGTATGGTAGATTCAATACTATTTAGTCAGGTATGGTAGATTCAATACTATTTAGTCAGGTATGTTAGGTTCTGTACTATTTAGTCAGGTGTGGTAGACAATACTATTTAGTCAGGTGTGGTAGACAATACTATTTAGTTAGGTATGGTAGATTCAATACTATTTAGTCAGGTATGGTAGATTCAATACTATTTAGTCAGGTATGGTAGGTTCTGTACTATTTAGTCAGGTGTGGTAGACAATACTATTTAGTCAGGTATGGTAGATTCAATACTATTTAGTCAGGTATGGTAGGTTCTGTACTATTTAGTCAGGTTATGGTTGATTAATACTATTTAGTCAGGTATGGTGGGTTCAGCACTATTTAGTCAGGTATGGTAGATTTAATACTTCATTTAGTCAGGCATGGTAGGTTCTGTACTCATTTAGTCATCAGGTATGGTTGGTTCTAGTACTATTTAGTCAGGTGTGGTAGACAATATTATTTAGTTAGGTATGGTAGATTCAATACTATTTAGTCAGGTATGGTAGGTTCTGTACTATTTAGTCAGGTATGGTAGATTTAATACTATTTAGTCAGGTATGGTAGGTTCTGTACTATTTAGTCAGGTATGGTAGGTTCTGTACTATTTAGTCAGGTGTGGTAGACAATATTATTTAGTTAGGTATGGTAGATTCAATACTATTTAGTTAGGTATGGTAGGTTCTGTACCTATTTAGTCCAGGTGGTGGGTTCTGTACTATTTAGTCAGGTATGGTAGGTTCTGTACTATTTAGTCAGGTGTATTAGACAATATTATTTAGTTAGGTATGGTAGATTCAATACTATTTAGTCAGGTATGGTAGGTTCTGTACTATTTAGTCAGGTATGGTAGATTTAATACTATTTAGTCAGGTATGGTAGGTTCTGTACTATTTGTACTATTTAGGTATGGTAGGTTCTGTACTATTTAGTCAGGTGTGGTAGAACAATATTATTTAGTTAGGTATGGTAGATTCAATACTATTTAGTTAGGTATGGTAGGTCTTGGTTAGGTAGTATGGTAGGTTCTGCTATTTGTCAGGTATGGTGGGTTCTGTGCCTATTTAGTCAGGTATGGTAGGTTCTGTACTATTTAGTCGTGTGGTGGTAGACAATATTATTTAGTTGGTATGGTAGATTCAATACTATTTCGGGTATGGTAGGTTCTGTACTATTTAGTCAGGTATGGTAGATTTAATACTATTTAGTCAGGTATCTTAGTCATTTAGTCAGGTATGGTAGGTTCTGTACTATTTAGTCAGGTGTGGTAGACAATACTATTTAGTTAGGTATGGTAGATTCAATATTTGTAGTTAGGTATGGTAGATTCTATACTATTTAGTCAGGTATGGTAGGTTCTGTACTATTTAGTCAGGTATGGTAGGTTCTGTACTAACCGAGAGTATGGAGGATGACTGGACGGTGTTGGTGTTTTCTGGGTGGCATCTCACTGGTGTGGACTATCCGGGAGGGAAGTGTAAGGATGTGCAGTAGTGGGTCGTCCTCACGTACCACCTCATACACTCCTGTCTTGAAGTTGTACACAATCTCAGTCTGCTTTCGCTTGTTTACAGATGTGAGTCGGATTAGTATGTCCGGTTCACGAACTCCCTGCTGGAGAATGGGGGAAAGAAGTAGCCGATAACTCTTACCTGAGTTAATGGAAGAAAGTGAGTAATTAAAGAAAGGTTACATTATCATATGTCTGGTTCATAAGTAACCGATTGTACCACACTGCTAATATTAATGATGGATTCTGTGAACCTGTAGGACAACTGTTTCTCCTGTGAGCATCGTTATGATGGCTTACTGGGAGTTAATTGTTCACCACCGAGACTCCATTCTACGAGTCTTGTGCGAGATGAAGACGGAAATGGTGACAAAGGATCGATGAAGAAGGGAGAGGATTGAGTGAATGTAAAAGTATGTGTTTAAGAGAGTTGAAGACTGGGAGGTTCTTCAAAGCCAATATATATTATATATATATGTGTGCTATGCTTAATCTGATGTTTAGTGGAAATATAAGGTGAAAGAGGTGCGTGATTATATGGGCAGCGTGAACACTTTGAGATCGAAAAAAGTTTATCTCCCTAAACTCTGGTAACACTGCTACTAAAACATTAACTGGTTGGTTGAAGAAAAGTGGTCATTCACCTCCACACACCACCACCCCCAGGGAGGTGTGGGTGAGGAAGCAAATATGATATGTAAAATCATTGTACCTAATCTAACCTAACCTAAACACCTTCCCCACCCTACCCCTAACTTACCCTACCCCCTCCTTACCCCACCCACCCTCCCTGCCCCCACCCCCCCACCCACCCACCCTACCGCCACCCACTACCATACCCTACCCCCTAACATAAGCTAAAGTTAACATATTGTGACTGAAACATTCGATATTGTGTGTCTGCAGGAGTGTCTCACACCTAATGGTAAGCCCCCACCCAGTCTGCTTAATGTATTATGATCCTAGTTCTACTCACACATGTTTGATGTATGTTAAGAAGTCACTCCGCATGTACCTCTTGTATCCAAAAAAGACTACCAACCTTCAGTAATGGGATCACTATCCACCCAAGCAACTCCACACTCAACGTGCTAAACGCCTATGCTCCCTCAGATCAGCTTCAGTACAGTGTTGCCACAGTATAGACGGTGTTGTACACACAGTGTAGACAGTTGTACAGTGTAGACGGTGTTATACATACATGCAGTACAGTGTTGTACAGTATAGACGGTGTTGTACAGTATAGACGGTTTGTACAGTATAGACGGTGTTGTACAGTGTAGACAGTGTTGTACAGTGTAGACGGTGTTGTACAGTATACATGCAGTACAGCGTTGTACAGTATAGACGGTGTTGTACAGTATAGACAGTTTTGTACAGTATAGACGGTGTTGTACAGTGTAGACAGTGTTCGTACAGTGTAGACGGTGTTAGCAGTAGACGGTGTTGTACAGTATAGATGTACACGGTGTTGTACAGTATAGACGGTGTTGTGTTGTACAGTATAGACGGTGTTGTTGTACAGTGTAGACAGTGTTGTACAATTATGGAGAACCCAGTCAAATTGTAGAGTGTGAACAGTGTTGGCCTGGTACAGACATTTATACAGTATAGACGGTGTTGTACAGCATAGACGGTGGTGTTGTTCAGTGTAGACAGTGTTAGACGGTGTTGTACGGGTAGACGGTGTACAGTACAGTATAGACGGTGTTGACGATGTTGTACGGTGTTGTTGTACAGTGTAGACAGTATAGACGGGTGTTGTACAGTGTTGCAGACAGTGTTGTACAGTATAGACGGTGTTGTACAGTGTAGACAGTGTTTGTACAGTGTAGACTGATGTTGCTTTAGTATAGATGCAGTACAGTGTTGTACAGGCAGACGGTGTTGCCACAGTATAGATGCGTACAGTACAGTGTTGTACAGTATAGACGGTGTTGTACAGTGTAAGACAGTGTTGTACAGTATAGACGGTGTTGTACAGTATAGACGCAGTACAGTGTTGTACAGTATAGACAGTGTTGTACAGTATAGACAAGTGTAGAGACAGTGTTGTACAGTGTAGACGGTGTTGTACAGTATAGAGTACAGTGTTGTACAGTGTAGACAGTATAGACGGTGTTGTACAGGCATAGAGTTGTACAGTGTAGACAGTGTTGTATAGACGGTGTTGTACAGTATAAACGCAAAAGATGTACATGGACAGTGTTGTACAGTATAGACGGTGTTGTACAGTGTAGTGACGGTGTTGTACAGTATATAGCATAGATGCAGTGTACGGTGTACAGTGTTGTACATAGACGGTGTTGTACAGTATAGACGGTGTTGTACAGTGTAGACAGTGTTGTAAGTGTAGACGGTGTTGTACAGTATAGACGGTGTTGTACAGTGTTGTACAGTATAGACGGTGTTGTACAGTGTGTACAGTGTAGAGTACAGTATAGACGCAGTACAGTGTTGTACAGTGTAGACAGGTTGTACAGTATAGACGCAGTACAGTGTTGTACAGTATAGACGGTGTTGTACAGTATAGATGCAGTACACAGTATAGACGGTGTTGTACAGTATAGACGTACAGTATAGACGGTGTTGTACAGTATAGACAGTATAGACGGTGTGTAGACGGTGTTGTACAGTATAGACGGTGTTGTACAGTGTAGACGGTGTTGTACAGTGTAGACGGGGTTGTACAGTATAGCAGTGCACAGTGTTGTACAGTATAGACGGTGTACAAGTGTAGACGGTGTTGTACAGTGTAGACGGTGATGTACAGTATAGACGGTGTTGTACAGTATAGATGTGTTGTACAGTAGATTTGTAAGTTGTGTGTACAGTATAGAGACGGTGTTGTACAGTGTAGACGGTGTTGTACAGCATAGAAGGTGTTGTACAGTATAGAGGTGTTGTACAGTATAGACGGTGTTGTACAGTGTAGATGGTATAGACGAGTGTAGTTGTACAATTAATAGATGGTGTTGTACAGTGTAGACGGTAGATGTACAGTATAGACGCAATTACAGTGTGTACAGTGTGAACGGTGATGTACAGTAGACGCAATTTAATGTTGTGTTAACGTGAATTATATATACGCAGTACAGTGTTGTACAATGTAGCAGTGTATGTATGTACAGATGCAGTACAGTGTTGTACAGTATAGACGGTGTTGTACAGTGTAGACGGTGTTGTACAGTGTAGACGGTGTTGTACAGTATAGACGGTGTTGTACAGTATAGACGGTGTTGTACAGTATAGACGCAGTACAGTGTTGTACAGTATAGACGGTGTTGTACAGTATAGATTTGGTGTTGCACAGTATAGACGCAGTACAGTGTAGACGGTGTTGTACAGTATAGACAGTGTTGTACAGTATAGACGCAGTACAGTGTTGCAGTGTTGTACAGTATAGAGACAGTGTTGTACAGTATAAACAACTACTCTCTCTCTCTCTCTCTCTTTGTCTTTTTTTTTTCTTTGCTAAAAAACATTGTTAAATAGTTCTTGTGGTGATGGTCGGGGTCAACAGCCTCCTCCTCTTGTCTGTCGTGTACGAGTACGTCATGTTCAAGAGAAGGTCACTGACAAGTGCACCAAGAAGGAGGTCAGGTCCAAGGTGGCGGCCAGGTCCAAGGTGGAGGCCAGGTCCAAGGTGGAGGCCAGGTCCAAGGTGGCGGCCAGGTCCAAGGTGGAGGCCAGGTCCAAGGTGGAGGCCAGGGCCCAAGGTGGCGGTACAGGTCCAAGGTGGAGGCCAGGTCCAAGGTGGAGTGCCAGGTCCAAAGTGGCGGCCAGGTCCAAGGTGTAGGCCAGGTCCAAGGTGTAGGCCAGGTCCAAGGTGGAGGCCAGGTCCAAGGTGGCTACCAACTTGGGGACTCCTAAGATTGAGCCCACCAAGAACGGGACCAAGGCCACCAAGAGCCTGGTGGAGCCCACCAAGAACGGGGGTGGAGCCCACCAAGAATGGGGTGGAACCCACCAAGAACGGGGTGGAGCCTACCAAGAGCCGGGTGGAGCCCACCAAGAGCTGGGTGGAGCCCACCAAGAACGGGGTGGAGCTCACCAAGAGCCGGGTTGAACCCACCAAGACCCGGGTAGAGTCCGCCATGAACATGGGGGAGCACACCAAGAGCCGGGTGGAGCCCACCAAGAACCGGGTGAAGCCCACCAAGAGCCGGGTGGAGCCCACCAAGAGCCGGGTGGAGCCCAGGGTGGTGTCGTGGGATGTCTCAGTACCCAAGTCCTGCCTGGGAGCAGTGGTCGGCCCTGGGGGCGCTAACTTGGCTCGCCTCTCGTACAAGTACTTGGTGGATGTTACACTTCACCCAACATCCGAAACCAAACTACTTGTGACCGGTGTGAGGCACCAGGTCGGCGCCGTCTGCAAGATCATCAAGTCAATGGCTGCAGACGAGAAGCTCAGGCAAAAGGGGGAAGAACTCATTACGTACTCTATGTACATCCGCCCAGCCTTGAGAAGGCACGTGGTTGGTACTGGCGGTCGTTTCCTCCAATCACTCAAAAATTATTATGACGTGGAAGTAATCGTCCCCAGCCACCTCGAACCTAACGACCCTGTATGGCTCATGGGAGAGGCGTACCGGGTCATGGGTGCAGTCATGTCAACGCCTGTATTGGCGCATCTTAGGCATGAATCGGTATGTGTTATTTACATAGTTTTGTTATTTTTCTATATTATTATTATTCTTTTTCTTCTTCATCTTCTTATCATTATTGAATATAGTGACGATATAGTACAGTAGGTTCCCATCTCTTATAACCAGCAGACACACACACACACACACACACACACACACACACACGTGAGGCCCCTCATAACACCATCTGTGAGGGAATTACTACACCACGTGAGGTCCCTCATAACACCATCTGTGAGGGAATTACTACACCACGTGAGGCCCCTCATAACACCATCTGTGAGGGAATTACTACACCACGTGAGGCCTCATAACACCATCTGTGAGGTAATTACACCACGTGAGGTCCCTCATAACACCATCTGTGAGGGAATTACTACACCACGTGAGGCCCCTCATAACACCATCTGTGAGGGAATTACTACACCACGTGAGGCCCTCATAACACCATCTGTGAGGGAATTACTACACCACGTGAGGCCCCTCATAACACCATCTGTGAGGGAACTACTACACCACGTGAGGTCCCTCCTAACACCATCTGGGAGGGAGTTACTACACTACGTTTTTGCTGTTCAACACCTACATTAATCTGTATGTTCACTGTATGTTCCTTTACCTTTCTCTAATGAAGGCTTTTGTTAAACCACCAATGTATGTAATAAGTCATTTATGTCCAATGTATATTTTCAGCCTTCGGGCTGCAGAACTTTTTCAATAAACCGTTAATTATTATTATTATTATTACACACATAAGGCACAGATACATCACATTTCTTGACCTAAAAGCTCCATTTGATATTGCCAATAGACAACTGATATTGTACGAACTAACCAAAATGGCTATAGGAGGTCGGGTGTTACACTGGATAAGTGGTACCTAACCAACAGAAGGGCTGCTGCACTGTTTCAGGGTTACAAAAGTGAAGTTAAAGATGTGCAACTTGATACCCCTCAAGGTGGAGTACTTAGCTGTACCTACGCGTACCCACACCCAGGTCCTGCACCCGCACGTGATTACCAACACTTACATATTGGTACCACACCCACATGAGGCAGGTAATGAACTTGCTGGTGATAGTATTAATGAGGCAGGTAGTGAAATAAGCTGGTGTTAAGATTTAAAACCTAACCTAAACCTAGCCTACCCTAACCTAACCTAACCTAACACAACATAACCTAACCTAACCTAACCTAAACTAACACTAACCTAACCCAGTTTAAATTAACCTAAGCAAACCTAGCCTATCAATCTAACCTAATCTAAACTTAACCAAATCTAATTAAATACCTTACATAGTCTAACCTAACTTAACCATACCTAAGCTAAGATAATCAAACCTAGCTTAACCTAATCTAACACACGAATCTTAACGTAACCTAACATAAACTAAACTAATCTAACAAACCTAACCTAACCATTAGGTGGGTAATTAGTCATGTGATGAGTTAAATGATGATTCAGGCAATGATATATGCAGTGCGGTGTTCTAAAGGGTGAGGAAAATAGTAATTACAGTGAGGCGAGTGAGATAACAGTAATGTGGAGGACAACAGTGATGAGTAAGGTAGTGTGGAGGACAACAGTGGTGAGTAAGGTAGTGTGGAGGACAACAGTGGTGAGTAAGGTAGTGTGGAGGACAACAGTGATGAGTAAGGTAGTGTGGAGGACAACAGTGGTGAGTAAGGTAGTGTGGAGGTCAACAGTGGTGAGTAAGGTAGTGTGGAGGACAACAGTGGTGAGTAAGGTAGTGTGGAGGACAACAGTGGTGAGTGTGTGGAGGACAACAGTGGTGAGTAAGGTAGTGTGGAGGACAACAGTGGTGAGTAAGGTAGTGTGGAGGACAACAGTGGTGAGTAAGGTAGTGTGGAGGACAACAGTGGTGAGTAAGGTAGTGTGGAGGACAACAGTGGTGAGTAAGGTAGTGTGGAGGACAACAGTGGTGAGTAAGGTAGTGTGGAGGACAACAGTGGTGAGTAAGGTAGTGTGAAGGACAACAGTGGTGAGTATGGTAGTGTGGAGGACAACAGTGGTGAGTAAGGTAGTGTGGAGGACAACAGTGGTGAGTAAGGTAGTGTGGAGGACAACAGTGGTGAGTAAGGTAGTGTGGAGGACAACAGTGGTGAGTAAGGTAGTGTGGAGGACAGCAGTGGTGAGTAATGTAGTGTGGAGGACAACAGTGGTGAGTAAGGTAGTGTGAAGGACAACAGTGGTGAGTAAGGATGGACGAAGATGGAGTTGGAACCGAAAGTAACCAGATGAAGTTGTCTTTTTGCTCCCTTATCGTCTAAAGATCATATTGTATAGAATTAAATTATCAGTACTAATGGTGGTAAAGAAGTGTTAGTATAAAGGTAGTTTCCTCTTGGATTTTAACCATTACAGACACCAGTTAAACTCACCTGCGTGTCGAGGATGTCTCTTGAATCGTCTCGGGATCGGGTGCGAAGTTTGGGCGCCAGGCGGAGTAGCATCCTCACAGGTAAATCTATCACATTAACTCATCCTCTGCTTAGACCTATGCTACTCGGAGTCACAGATAATTTAACAGCTGTGGTATATCAGAACTGATTCATCCTTTCAACGGAGCCGATGGTATAATAGGTACACCTCAGAGCTTATATGATATGTCGCTCTTGGCATGGTTTCTACAGTGACGACGAGCTATCACGTGTGTCATAGCTAAGGTGATATCGATTCTTGTCATAGTTTCTACAGTGACGACGGACTATCACGTGTGCCTCATAGCTTATGTGATGTAAAGCTCTTAATATCCTTTCTACAGAGTCAGTGTTATAACAGATATGAGACATACGACCTGTCATATGTTGTACTCACTTATCTCCTCCATAATGTTGTTGTTAAACTAGTTGCGTTATAACATCGCTTACAGTATTATATGTTGACACAGACACTGCATGGTGCAGCTCCGTGAGTCTTTGTCGTCCACTTTCAACATTCTTAATAATCAACACAAAACATTTTGAGAACATTTTGTCTGTTGTTTCGTCAAAAAATTAAATTATTTCATTCACTGATTCACTGATAATGAAGATGATCGTTGGATATGAGATAACATATATATAAGCAAGGTAGGTTGTTTCCTCTTGGCCCAGGGTCAACATTATCAGAAGGGTCAACAGGATCCTTTTCTGCTCATCGACAGTTTTCGTCGTGACCAAAACATAGTATTAATTAGAGGTAAACCTTTATACACTGACTTCTAGACACTCACAGATCACACTGTAGAGGTCAAACTACTGTACGTAATTCTGTGTATTAGTTGTGTACCATAAACAGGAATTATTAGAATCTGTATGAGATTGAGACTCTGAAATCAGACTTTTCAGCTGTTCAATTAACAGGAATAATAACACTCCCACAATTATCATCTGACGCTCTAAAGCATTTCACCATTGAGCACCGAGTAGAGATTAGGAACAAAACCTTAGTAGTTTTATACAGACCAAGTTTAGCTGTTGACAAGAAAACCCCATAATTTGGGTTATATTAACGTATCTGTAAACATCTATATATAGACAGATACGATGTACTGGAAAACGAAATATTTCTTAAGCTACAACATACTTTACGACACGTGCTTTCAAAGGCTATTAATTATTTCTCTGAATCAAATATTACCACAGATTTTAGAGAGCATATTTAGTCACAAACTTATAGCATAAAAACTGGCTTTATATAGTTTATTTAGTTTCTTATTATTATTATGTTGTTTATATTTAGGTTGTGTGTTTAGAGAGAGATGACCAGAGCGACATTAAACAAAGCCACCACAAACACAAGGCGTGACGTCACTACAGGACAAGTGTTAGTGCAGTAAGAGGGTCAGCCCACTTGTTGGGTAGCAGCCATGATCATGGTAAGGAGTCCAACATAATGACGATATCATTTCCTTATGTCAAGTTTTCGAACTTTCACTCTTAAATGTGTAGGAAAATATATATTGCTACAGCGTAAATACCTTAACATTTAGATCATATACAGAAGAATTTTCGTAAATCATTTTGTTCAGAATAGATGGATGTATTTATCAAAAGCAATAATATTTTTCTTTTTGCAGTGCAGAGGAATCAGGCAAGGAGGTCTAATCCTCAGAGGGCTCTTTACTACCTGCGCCTCCCACTGTCACCGTCTTGAAGAGGTTGGGAATGATTAAGTGTGCTGCGACACACTGAGTAGATCTGTGTCAAGATTATCATCTGTTGGTTACATATTCAGCAACACCTAATTTTGCTAAGTTGGAGTTCTTGTGTTACGTAAAAGGTTCTGGCGTATTAACGGTTCTTCTTTACATTTAATATGTAAATATTAGAAAACAATGTTGTTCATATTTTTCATTAATTAAAATGAGAGGACAAGCTATTTTCACTTTAAAGTATTCTGATTAGTAACATCCATCTTTAATTTACGAAGGACTGATGATGCATGAGGAGTTCTCTCTGTCTATTTTCTCCTTTCTTCTCCCACTCTTATAGGGAGGGGATCAAGGGATACAGATACCTAAATAATAGTGCAGGACAAGATGTACTGTGTGTACAAAACTAAAGGCTTAAGTTATTAGAAATATTCCACACACATTCTATCCCATACACTTAAGACTTACATACACACAACACAAAGCGAATCCTTAATCTTCATACTGAGTTAAAAATCTCAATTTATAAACTGTAGATACAAAAGTAAGTTTACTAAATTCGTTCATATTATCCCTAGTAAGGGCACAAGTGATATTTTTTAACAAATAGAAAAAAAGAGATTTTCCTGAAACACCCATCGATCGGCACATGGGGGGGGGCCTACCTGCCTTGCTGGTAGTAATTTTTGGTCATACGACATTGAGAAGCCTTTTAGCAACATTACTCTTCCATGTGTGAGGCCTGCACAGACGTTTATGGCCCGACGGCCCAACCTCGGGTTCACTCGTCTCACTTTCACTCATAACAGGTGTTGGGTCATCCACATACGACACACTTTGTGACAGAGGAATTCTTGTTGAAACTTGCTGTGGTGGTAACTCGATTACGGGCTCAGTGGCGCTTGTGCCCTTACTACGGCGCTGGTCTCATATATGAAACTACTTTTCACAATCTAAATCATTTTAGTACAGTCTAACGTGACGCTTCTGGCCCTCACTAAATTGCCTAAATGAATAGTATTTTTTTTGTCTTCATTCGCTTTTATTTTCCATAGACTTTTCCACCCTACAAAATATATATACTGGTTCATATATTTGAGCATGAGTTCTTGTCACTCTCATCGTGTTATACAGAATTTCATCTGTGTTGATGAATTTTGATCTTACGTTACAATTCACATGACTATAATCACATAAGAGGCAAACAAAAAAGTCCTTTACGCAGTCTATTTTTAAATTCTACACCTTGACCCACCTCATAAATTATTGTTGAGAGAACAGTGTTTTTCCCGTTACTACCGTTAGTACATATGTCAGGAACTTCTCCAAATACCTATATTTAGTAACTACCTCTTCTTAATCATCATAACTTTGTTTTATAAAGATTTAACCTCTAGTATTGCTCTTGTGAAGAACAATATTCATTAGACTATTATACCATTCTCTTTAACGCTCCCTTGACTAGACTAACAGTGTAGCATCATCCACATATAGTAAACGCTACATTTTCTGCTCTGTGACAAAGTGTATTAATTGTTTTCTGGAGTCACCCATTCTTGCTTCCGTCTCTCATATTGCTCAAACAGATGTTTTAATATTTTACTGTAATATCAGGATTCGACTTATTTCCATCTTGTGATAAAGTCCAAACGTAATGACAAATTTAAATCAAGCCACCTAACCATGAGTCACAGCAAACGTCACTTGCGATCGTGGAGTTACTTAAGAGACGGATTGACTGTGTGGAATGGACTTGAACGACGGGTGATGATTAGTATGGAAGTCCTGTATAACGAATTCCCAGGAGAGTCCTATTTTTATACTTATGTTTTTGACTTCTCCAGCACACTTAATCAAAACACATAATAAAGAGGTACAAGCAAGACAAGATCAGAGAACAGCATCTACACAATTTACCAGATCGCTTGGTGCTACCTGACCATTTACGCCTCTGCAGTATACACCCAGTCATTTACTCCATCACCCTTTATAAAACTCTCAAATAACTAAGGCAACATCACGTACCCGTACCACCAAAACTAATTCCCACATACGCGCTCCTCCATCGTACTGTACAACTCTGGACAACCTTAGTACACTTCATGCACCCTATACAAGGCCATTTACTCCCACAGGACCCACTTCTTTACTTTATAATATATATATTCTTGGTAAATAATGTCTTATTTTTCTTTCTTAAAGTTCTCTCTACCGCTCCAGTATATTCTCTTCCTGTGCTTGAACCTTCCTGGTCTTAATCTAAGTGTGTTGCTTCTATACGATAAATTAATGCCTCTACCTACCATGCCTAAGAGCATATTTCCCTTACACTCATCCTAACTTGTCTTGTTTTATATAATGGTTGCCCCTCGTGTAACGTGGATGGCCGGCTCTAGGGCCACCTAGGTGTGAATTTGTTTAAGGTGTACAAGCTGTCGCCAACACAACAACCACACCCTAAGTTAACGAGCTGCATGACCCAGTGTCAAGGAATAGTCCGAGAAGACCAGACAACTCGCGAACTGCACTGGCTAATCATTACCCCGGATCACGATCCGCAAATCTATAAGCATTCAGGTCCCCAATTACTGCTTGGTAGACAGAGGCAAATGGCGTAAAGAAACTAGCCCATAGTTTCACCCTGCCTGGGGATGGAACCCGGGTCCACTTGCTTGCGAGGCGAGCATGCTGACCTTGCTGTTTTATACACGGAAACATTAAGAACTTTTCTCCTACTCCCTGTTGCTTTTTTTTCCAAACTACCATAAACAGTTTACCGTTGTAGTTAGTCGTGCCTTCTCTCGGTCTACAGTATTTCATTCACCACAGTCTGTACCTCTTACAGAATTATTCTACAGTTCTTTAACGTTTGCTTTACTTCCTCTATTGTTATTAATCTTCCTTCAGTGTGTCACCTTTGTCCTCTACTAATATCTTATCCTATTGTCTTTTCATCTGTTTTCCTTTTTACTCCCGTCCCTCATGAGCTCTCCTCCTCCCCTTTCTTTTAAAACTTTTCTTCCCTGACAGTTCTCGCTCCCCTGTGTTTCGTTATCTCCTGGCAAAAACAGTTTACCCTTTCCGCTCAAGTTCTCTTCCATCGTGTTTCCATGATCTTAGTTCGCTCCTTTTTTTCAATTTTAATAGTTATGTACGCTTTTATTAGATATCATATACTCATATACTGTACAGTATATCCCCAGGGTGCTTCCACCTGATTCAGGCCACAGTTTCATAGTTTCATCCATTAATTTCTCAACGTTTGTCCTGTTTATTTACACGCCCATTGTGGAGAACCTCGCTGACTCTTTTAAATTTATTACCTTCCTTACCTCAGTTACCTAATGGCCACCCACTAGAGGTGGCCATGCCGAGGAAGGAGGCCAGTGGCCTGTGAAGGATCCCTACAGTGTTACTGATAATTTTATCAAAGGCTATTTTGGAGCCCAGTACTGTTCTTGATTCTACAGCTCGGGCTGGTAGACCATTCCATAGGTCTACCAGCCTCTGTGTGAATAAGTATTACCTTATGCTCATTCTGCATGATAACTTGGTGAGCTTGTAGTTGTCCCCTAAAGTTGGTGGTGCATGGCATGGCAAACTAATGGCCAGGGTTAACTTTTCCAGCCCTTTCAAAGTTCTGAATGTTTCATTGAGATCTGCCCTATAGTACCTTGTCTGAATTTTTGTGAGTCCTAAGGTCCCCAGTCTACTTGGATAATCAAGATGACTTAGTCCTGGAACCATCTTAATCGCTGTGTTACACCTTCTAAAGATGGCAGGTCGACGGAGGGGTTCCATGCCTGTATACAGTAATCCAGACTAGGCCATACGAGTACAGTACATAATACAAAATCTTACACTTACCCCCCCTGCAAGTTTAAGCAGTGTAAAATATTCCCTTTTCAATTTTAATTTCCATATATTTGGACCTTCATGGTAGTGTTGCCTCTCAACTATTGTCGTCGTTGTAGGTTATGTATCTATGCTACTGTGCCGCGTAGCAACCTTGTAAATAAGCTACTGTGCCGAGTAGCATTTATATATGTAATAACGTGGCACCACTGCACGTGTTATGTGGCACCATTGCCCCGAGGCTGCCATATGGCAAGGCAGTCTCAGTCTGACTCTGTGGGC